TAATTCCAGAGTCCTAATGGGCTATTGACATCTGTTAGATCTTTATGATATTATGCTGCTTCTATGTTTTGATGCCGGTAAGTATTGTGGTACCATGGAGCCCCTTGGCCAAGGGAGCTGTGGCCAGGCATAGGAGTTCCTCCAGGAATGTTACTAGTCTCCCCTGCTTGAGGGTCTGGGATCTAGTGCTGCCTTATTATAGCCAAGATAGTACTTGACGTGCTGAGACTGCCTTCTGGTGTCCAAGTTTGCAACAGCTTTGTTCTGGGATTTCGGAGGGGGATGGGGAAGTGCTCTGAATGGGGCAGAAGGGAGGGCGCAGGGAAGAGCACAGCATGTTCTCCAGCTCCTCTGTAACCTGCTCTTGAAGAGACCATGCAGGTGCCATTGCTGTAACTTTTGAATGCAAAAGCATGAGATGGACAAACTGGCATGGAAAAGGGCTTGAGACTAGTATTATGGAAATTCCAATGTTGTGACAAGTATCAACACTTAATACTTTTTGCATTGCATGGACTAGAAGATGATGAACATAATATATTTGTAAAAGGCTTTCCAGGACAAGTGTTGTGGGAGCTACAGCCTCCTGAAACTCATACTTTAATAAGGAATAGATTAAGTAAAACATTTCATGAAGCATTGGCACAACTGGTAGAAAAGGTTTCCTTTTACAATTTTTTTTTTGTAAATTCCTTCAGCAAAACTACTGGAGCTCTTTGAGAGGGTCAGCAGAGTATGGGAAAGGTAGATGGGGTTAATATACTTCCTTTACTCCACTTCCTCTCCCCAGTCCCAATCAAAGGCTTTTGTCAAGTGCCGTTATCAAGAACTTTTAAAGAAGTTAAGCAACCTTGAGATGGGGAGCAGGAGGGGGAATCGATTATATATTGGAGAATAAGAGGTAAAAGTTGGAAGGCAGGGTAGAGTAAATACTTCTGCAGTGGAGTTCCTTGCAGATCTGTGCTGATCAGGCTACGATATGATCAGCAAATGATCTGGAAAAGAGAATATAGTGCGAGTTTGCAAGAATGATACTGATGTCTATATTGGAGTGGAAAAGATGAAGGCTGTCTCTGACTAAGTAGAGACCTTATGAGACTTGGAGATAAGGTATAAAATGACAGATAGAATTTGGTGTAAATAAATGTATTTTTCCTTATACTTATAAAAATTACATGCAATTAGGACTGTTAACTGTAATCCCTGAGTGAGATCTTAGGACATGCACACAGTTTTGTGAAAGCATGAGGCTGTCACTTCAGAACTGTCAAAAAAGCAACCTTAACCTTAGCGATTACCCGAAAAGAAATGGGGGGGAGGGGGGAGAGGAAGAGAGGAAACTCTTCTTTTATACCACTGTGTCACCCCAGGGTTTACCTACATCTTAAACTGCATGCAGTTTTCATCTCATTCCTCTGCTATCTAAGGGTATAACTTACCAAAAACAAACAATCCCCGAGGGATTTATTGTTCAGTCTTATCCATTACAGGAAGGGTGCATGAAAAGAAGCTAACAGCGGTGCATTTAAAACAAAAGTGACTATTTCTGACTTACTGTGTGTTTAAGCATTGGAACTTCTTAGCTTCTGCAACATCTGGGACGTAAACTTCTGTGACTGCAAGGTGAGAATGGATGAATTAATGGATGAGAAATCTATTGAGGATTAATAAATACATAGAAACTACACTTAGTTCAGGAAGCCACTGAAGTTCAGATTACTAGACTGTGGGAGTATACAGGGGGGGAAACATCACGTATGTTTGTCCTATTCTTACACTTTTTCCTAGGAATTTGAGTCCAGCCACTGCTGGAGACATGGCACTAGGCTAGAGGAGCCTTTTGTTTTGCTCAGCCCAGCTGCCTTTAAAATTCTCTTATAGATACATATATATGTGTGTAGATATACCTATAAAATAGAATCAATGTAGTGTTTTATGAGTAAGTATAACAGTAAAGAAAATTCCAAGTTTAATACTATACTAATTGCAAGAATGATAGACCCAGATCTCTGTTTATATTTCCACAAGGTTTTTAAAGTTTTTTTCTTGAATAACATTTTCACTTTCTCAGGCATGCATATCATCAGTGCTGTTGTACTTAACTCTTAATTTTGCTAATTTGGTGCTTATTTAGTTATAGATGAGCTCATTGAACTGTCAGTTTCATTCTGGCAAGGTGATGTGACACTTCACAAGGTTATGTGTCTGGTTATTATAGTTTAGTATGCAGATAGCTCAGCGCAAGATATATTGTGTGCGTTCTGATTTAAAAGCAAAATTACCACCAGCAAAAACTGTTTTCAGTTATCTTGATGCACTGGATTTGGTTCTGCCTTGCTGATAGACCTACGAGTTCCCTTTTAATCGTTTATCAACCATTGGGGAGCTGTAATAGGATCCCACAGAGATTGTCCTGTGTCACTTATTTTTAAATGTGATGAATAAGAACTACTTGCTGCTAAAGCTTTCAGAGAGCAATAGATTGCATCATGGAAAAGTAATTAATAGTGAGGTTTCTGCAGAGTACTGGACTTGCACAGCAGGCTGAGCAGTCTGTTAATGTGAGATCCTACAACCAGGACCGAGAGTAGGAGTCCTAACTGTGAAACAAGTTTGTGTAGAAAGGGCTGCAGAACAGAAGCAGGGGATGGCTTCAGGACCGCAGAAGCTTCAGTTCCCGCAATAGCCAAGCAAGGGATATAGAGAACTAGCTGGATGATTTCTGTACAAATATTTAGTTCAGTCATAGTTTCAAGATCTACTAGGCATATTTAACACCGCTAGCAGAGATGCTTGCGTAGTGTTTATTTAACTTTCTTGTGAACTTATGAGTTTGGATTTTCTAAATGCAAGTGACCAATGCAGATTCTCCTAGATCTTTAACTTGTGTTAAGATAAGTCATGGGATCTCACTGAAGCATTCATGATTTATCCCATGTTTATTTCCTGAACTATCTCAAAATTGAGAGGATGATCAAAGTTGCTCTTAATTGTCACCTCAAAGGCTCATCCTCTCTTCTGTAGCACCTGTGATTTCAGGTGGACTTCTTGAGGAACTGTTATAAACCTGCTTTTGACTTACAAAAGTAGATTTTAGACCATGTTACAGTAATGTAAGAACGTGCCTAATATAAAAATCTACAATGCAGGCACGTGCACACCAGCACTATGTCCTCCTGTAATTTTGGCTTGGTGGATGTGGATTCTTCCAAGGGAAGAAAACTACCTGCAGAAGGGCTGTTAAAACCCTTCCCTGCCTGCCTCCTTCCTGTTTTCTTCTCTCTTGCTTTTGTGGTGTGAATGGTCTGGATCACTGATGCTTGTCTCGAGTGTATTGAGAAGTGATTTATTAAAATATTGGAGGGCTATTGACGTAACAAGATCTTTCCCTTCAAGCCACATTTCCTTAACAGTGGGAACCTCTTACTACCCCTAGACTAGCTGTAAAAATTTTTTTTATCCTTGGAGTGTGCCACCCATCAAACCAGATTAAAGGGATTTAGCAGTGAGAGGATAATGATTCTTTGGGAGAGTGGCTTGGTGTTTCGTGGTTTGCTTTTTGCCTTTAGGCTACCACGGTGCAGGTGAGCTTTGAATATTCTAATCAACTGTATCAGAGTTATTTTAAAAAATAAAACACTAATCTCTATCACTGCACTTTCAAGTGCCTTAGTGCTTTTGGCTTCCAAGAGACATTAGCTTTTGCTGGTGGTATAACCATATAAATAACAGACATTAAATTTAAGTTGCAGTTTGTGGCATGCCATGCTTGCTTTTAAGGCACTAGCAAGCAGCTGAACTGGATGCATTCAGGAACTCTTTAGTTTTACTCGTCATTTCCCGTTACTTAAACAAAACTAAAAGGACGTAGGAAGCTTATTACCCCAAATGTGCGGAAACTGGCTTCCTTAAACTGACCCCTGGGAACCAAGGAAAAACGTTAGAGCATGAGCAGCATCACTTACAAGGACAGGATTTTTCAGACCCGTGCTCTGTGGTTAGGTGAATCAGAAGACTTAGGGCTAGCCTACCCTTCCTTTTTGGAATCGGTGACTTTAAAAATTGTTTTAAAATTAATAACTTGGCTCCTTACAGTCTAGGTGTTTCAAGGCTTTGTAGCTTTTCAGAAAGGTGGTTCCTTATCAAGATGAGCTTACTGATCATTTTGGAACAGATGTTTAAAACTACCTAGTGTTTTTTCAGGGGAGACTTGTCTGCTAAGTACTTAGCCACTTCAGAAAAAATGTGGTCCTTATTTTCCTCATTTGCTCCCTTCTTCTCATCTCTCCCCTCAAACAAAATGAAGTGTGTTTGTTCTGATGTCTGCACAAGATAAACACATGCTTACGTTTTTCCAGTTGGTTGAAACCATGAGCAGAGAAGTTTAACGAATTTGCAATAAGTGATCATAGAGGTCATTCTTAACAGTAAATAAATCATTGTGCCTCATATAGCCTATTGTCCTGCAAATATATATAGACTATGTTTTTAACCTTTCTTAAATTTTACTTTAAAATCTTGTCCTCCAGTTGGTACAAAGCCTAAGCAAGGACACAGAAGGAATAACTATCTCCAAAAAGACATGTTAATTTTTTTTGTAACAGATAAGTCTTCATTGTTACCTCTTTCCATTTAAAGAGCTTTGTCCCCAATTCAGTTGCTACTGGTTTATTGCATCAAAGTATTCCCAAGGAAGAGCCTCGTGATATAATTTCATGTTATATAAAATACAGATGGATAACAATGTTTCATGTAATATAAGAATATGCATTATTATACAGAGTATTCAAAGTGTGTACACCCAACCCAGTGCATCTGCACACACAGACTTTACAGCCCTCTATTACTCTCTTATCTTGCTTTATTCCTTCCTTCCTCCCCCCCATTCCCACAGGCTGCTCACAGCTTCCTTAGTCACTCCTTCAGCAGTTTTTCTACTTCTTTAGTAGTAGTTGTCTCCTTGTTAGAACCTTTGCTGTCTCCTGTATATGCTTTTTCAGATTAGGGGGGCAGGGGATGAGACCAGTCCTGGATACTGCATTCAACATGAGGGCAAGCCAGGATTTGGTCAGTGACTTAATGATATACTCTCTTTTGGTGGCTTTTCCTTGGCTGGTAAAGCCTTGGGTTCGCCTTGCTTTCTTGACTGCTGCTGCAGTTGGAGCTTCACAATCGCTCTTCAAAGCCGGCCCTTGTTCTTATTTGGTATAACTTAATGTCATCAGGAAACTCTTATCACCTTACTGTTTAGCCCCTATTTTTAAGTGTATATGGTTGTTAAATTATGAATCTCTATTGAAAAAAAAAAAACATTTGTTAACAAGCGCTGACTGAGCTGGGTATGAGCACTAGTGCTGGTGTGGAGGGAAGCACAGCTGGGACAGACACCAGGTTTGGCAGCTGCTTTCTAGTGTTATCTAAAACCAGTTTTTAAAAGAACGTTCTCAGTATTGCTAGGCCTTTTATGTGTATGGTATACCTTGCCTTTTTTTAAATTTAACTTTATTTTTCCCTTCTGCCTTCTTCTGACTGTTGTGCTTTTCTTCCAGGGGATGGGACCGCCAGGGAAAGTAGCCCATTTATCAACAATGCAGAGATGGACAGAGGAAACATGTATGAAGGAAAGAATATGGCTCTCTTTGAGGCAAGTTCTTTTTTTTAATATATATGTGTGTGTGTGTGTGTGTATATATATATATAATCACACACACACATGCAACTTCACCTTGGGTTGAGGTTTTGGTAGTAAGATAAAGTAAACAACCAACCACCCTGTTTTTTCTTGCTGGGATTTAGTTGATATAAAAATTGGTATTAGTAACTCTTCTCAGCAGTTTGGTTTCTGCTAACATTCTACTTCAGTGGATTTTCAAACTTGAATGATATAACTAAAAAGGTTTAAACTTTTTTCTGTATTTTATAACTTACCTGTAAAAGAATATATCATAAATACTGGCATGCTTTGCCCTAAGTTTTCCAGATCCTAGCCAAACAATTTTAAATTTAATAAGGCAGTTACTGTTAGCTAAACCTGTAGAAAGTTAAATCTGGTGGCTTTAACTTTAACAAAGCAATATCCAGTTATAATATACTCACTGACGTTCATTAAATTCCACCTGGGGTTGAGGGGGAACTGAAGGCAGTAAAACTATGAAACTATGAGAGGCCATGGTATTGTTCAATTAGTATATAGCTGTTTCTCACTCATAATGTAAAGATCTGTGTTATAATCCAAACATAATGCATGTTTAATTGAGTGGATGATTACAATTACTTACAGAAAAAGTATATTGGTACTGTACACTTAAGTGCTACTTTAACATAATGAAACCATTCCTTTGGTAATTTTAGTTCTTCATATGCTTAGCAGCATCAGCTTTGGTTACTGTTAACAATAAACAAGGTTTTTTACAAAGTTTGTTCATCTTGCTGTTACATCCTACCTAGTATTCCCTTGTTGTCTTCTTACCTCCTTCTTCCCATATATTTTTGCACAGAGAACATGATCATTCAGTTCTCTTCTGCATAACCAGAATAATGCATATTACTACTTTTGGCTAAGTCTTGGAGAAAACTGTAATTGGAGAAAAGTAATACTGGTCATCACCTTTTAAAAAGTTTTTTTTATACGGAAAGTATGATAGAGTTTTATCACTAAAATTTTTCCTGTAAGCTCTATATCTTAGGTGTCCAAAACTATGTTCAAGCTAGTTGTCATATTCCTCAGTGTTGATAAACTGGCCATAACTGCTTCTCTCCTCCTCCCCTATTATTTCTAATATCCTTTGAATATACACTTGCATTAGTTATTTTGAATACTGGCTGAAGTTAAATCCTCAGTTGATGGTGCAATCAAGACCATCTCTTCCATAATCTCTGATTATGGACCACCCTGTCATAACACTTTGGAAGCCTTCCAGTTTGACTTTCACCACCACGAAAGTAATGGTGATAATCTTTCAGTAATACATATCTTTTGTAGTACGCTTCCTACAATTTTACTCTTCCCATGTTCTTAACTCGTGATTATCATGATCCAATAAAGTGCGTGCCTCAGTAGAGATGAATGCCTTAATTCTTATATTTTTCTGTTTGTGATCCTAATCTCTTTTGTTTGTCTTCCAGTGTTTAATTTTACCTACTGGACTAAATTCTCTAGTTCTTTTCTTGGAATCCTTGTATTGTATATGCTTCTTTTGGATATTTACTATTTGTTTCAGTATACTTTTCCTTTGTAGCAGGCACTTGGTTAAAGAAAGAAGAACTGACATCTTGTATGTCAAATAATATATATGCATATGTGCCTGTGTTATTCTCAGGAAATGTTTTTAGAAATAGGATGCATGGTTTGAGGTGCAACCTGTAAGCCTGCAAGTGTAGCCGTGACTGGCAGCACTGTTCGAGTCAGTGTCTAGGCAGATTTTCCAGCATCCTGCTTGGGTCTAACGACATGTCCCTGTCAGTGCAATAGGCTTTTAGACTATTGTATGATGATAGGAATACATGATTATAATTAAGGATGACACTTCTAAATATTTCCTCTTTACAAATTGCATATTGTAAGACAGTGCATAACAGTTAAACATTGCAATACAGCCATGTTGCATTAAACTTCTGGAAAGATTAGGACGTCTTTTTGAAGCCAGCTGACTAGTGTTTTATCATACTGACTCCTGAATTTGATTGAATCAAGGCTGTCCTGTGAGCATGTGTTTGGAATAGAATTATAAATTCATGACTTAAATATAGTATTCTTAAAATCCCAACAGGAAGAAATGGATAGCAATCCCATGGTGTCGTCTCTTCTTAATAAACTAGCAAACTACACTAATCTGACTCAAGGTGTAGTAGAACATGAAGCAGATGAAGACAGCAAGCGAAAGGAAGTCAAGGTATTTAAACTTCTTATATGTTATCATGACAAAACTAGCCACTATGAGAGCATTATTCGACCTATAAAGAAAATTCAGATGCCTTAAAACAGGAGAGAGATTTATGGCACTGTACTTAAAATGGAAGTGTTTTGTAATAAGGCTCATCTTACTTCAGTGTTCTTGCTAGCATATTTTAGCAAGAGCTTTGCTGTAAAGCTAGGACCTGAAACAAACAATACATGCATCCTAAGTTTTTCTTCCTTTCTTTTCTTCCTCCTTCTATCCTTGTAGAAGCATCACTACCTTTTTTTCTGACTTGAATGAGGATGCAGTATGATTCTTGTTTTATTAATGTGATGTGATTGGCTGCATGCTTGTCTCAGGTTGAAATTTGAGGAGAACTTTAAAGGAAAATGGACCATGACTTAAAAAATCTGTAAATGCAATGTTTTGCTCAGTTAATATGTTAGCGGACTGTTTTCTGAGCAGTTCTGTTGTTTGTGTACGCTGGAGTAAGTACTTGAAGTTTGGGAGGACGTTTCAAGGAAATGCCTCTTGTTGCATATGTCAAAAACTAAGTTATCTCTTTCTGTGGGGGATGGGAAGGTGCCTAAATGTGCTTAGCACGTACCTAAACAAACTTGCCAGAAGACAGCAGCAGGAAGCTCTGGACACTTTCTATTGGATACCCAAAGTGCCTGTCTGTGACTGGGTTGCATATATCCTATTCCTACTAAGGTTTAGTAAAAGTCTGCAGTTGGATGATGGATTGGTCCTTCTGTAGATATGAAGCTGTTTCAGAAGGAGAAAGCCTGCATCAAAAACATAAGCCTGGCAGAGGAAGAAGCATGACAGCCAAGGAGGGATGATAGGCTGGACGTGGCTGGGAATGGAGATACTGGGTAGATCCTGGGAAAACAAGAGGACTGGGAGTCAGTTGTCTTTGGGTAGGAGTAGGGGATGTTGCTGCTGGAGTTTGTTTACCTCCTTTCTCCATGGGGTGGAAAGAGATGCAGAATAGCATGGGTAGAAGGAAATGGGCACATGGCAGAAGAGATGGATATGAAAAGGTGCTTGAAAGTGAGGCTAGAACTGGAGCTTATTTCACTTGGCGCGAGATTTGTGATGCCTACTTTGAAGTAGGCCATACTGGTATGGGAAGCTGGTACTTGGACGGTGGGTGAAGACGCAGAATACAGCCTAGCTGTTTGTTTTAGCTTTTTGCTTGTTCTGCTTTTATTTCTTCAGCTTGGCAGGTGAGAATGTCAGCACTGATAAATTCATGCTGTCCTCCAAGTGATTCCTGCGCACCGGAGGACGAGAGGTCCGTGCTTACTTGTCTCTGGGTGTGTCCCTCTGGAACTGGGTGGCTGTATGAGTACCCCATAATTCCTTGTGCTCCATCTCTTTTTGAGCACCATCTGGTGGCCTGAAGGCATGATTTCTCTGCCTGGTTTCATTTTCAGTTGAGCTTGGGAGGTTGGGTGATTGTTAGGTAGTAGCAGAGTGGTGTTTTTAATGGCATGAGACTTGGAATATTACATAGCCTAGGGGGAATGTGGCAGTGACGCATATAACCCATGCCAAGGGGGGCAATTATGCCCCCTCAGATATGGCTATATCTTAAAGAGGCTTAAGGAGACGGAAGAAAACAAGCTGTTGCATCTTGACTGTACCACTTGTTGGCAAATGGCCTAGAGTGAATGAGCCTTGCAGCCACATCTGGGTTTGTGGTGGAGGCTGGCTGATGTAAAGATCTCCAGAACAAATGAGCATTGCAGTGGGAATAGTCTGGGAGGGAAAAGTAGTTTTCCTACTGAGTAGGAGTAGCACTTTCACTACATAAGTAGGGAGTTTCGCTCACGTAATTAAGAGCAAAATATCTTGTTTGTAAGGGTATATCTCTGCATTTTTGTTAGACTAGAAAGCACCTATTTCAGTATAAACTACCAAGCAATAGGGCCTGGCTTGCAAGATTACTGTTTACCAGTCTGCTAGTGAAAACAGTGGTCTGTGTATTTTGCAAATGTTATCAAGTTTTGTGTCTGCTTGTGGATTTTTTTTTTAAATGTGGAAAGATTCAGACTGATTGTCTTCACTGAACCTTGATACATATGCTCCTATTTGATTAACTGATAACAGCTTATTCAGATGACTTTTTTCCAGTTCTTAGTTTACCTGTGTAATCTATTGATACTGCCTAAGCTATGTTTTTTTTCTCATTGTGCAAATGATAAATGCCTTTGGAAAGACCTACATGTGCAGTATGCACTAAACTTAAAAATGCAAAACAATAAGTAGCTGGATTTAGTAATTAATGGAATATGATTTCTTTGGTAAGATGTTTCTGTCTTAAAGTCATTTTAACTTGCATTCATTTTCTTTTCTCACTTTTCTCTTATTATCCCTCCAGTATTGATACCAGAAAATCTCTGGTTACTTCAGGAAATTATGAAATGAGCTAAGTCACATAAAATTAGCATTCTTCCAATCTTCTAGAACTGCAGCCTCTTACCAACATTTAAGGAAAAGATATCCTCTCCTGGGGGAGGAGGTAGTCCTTGTCTATCTGCAAAGTGTGATTTGCCTGCACTTGCTAATAATAAAAGCATATATCCATTGTAGGTGTCTGGCATTCTCCTTGCTCACTAATAAACTCAAAAGTGCTTTGTACACAGCTATATCATATTCTTTTTTGGAAAGAAGTACTGTACAGTATTTTGAGAACAAAAGGTATTGCAAAAAGGCACACTTATTTTGAAAAAGCTTTCTTGGTAAACTTCAAAAGGGTTAGCAGTGGGTGTGAAGGGGGAGTGGAGATGTGCCTCTTTTGGCAAATTGTTGGTAAACTACACTCTTTGGTTTCCCCATTCATTTGACTTTCAGATCTTAAATGAAGTTTGAATTTTTGGCTGACAGATGAAATTAAGCTAAGTCAGTAAGCAAACTGCTAATTTATCACGTCTTAATTCAGGAAGTACATCAAGTACTTCATTTAAATGATCTTTTAATTTTTACAAAAGAGAACATTCACTGAAAATAAGGACAAATTGCAATTTGTCCTTACTAAAAATTCATAAATACTAACCTGGTTCTGTATAATCTGGTAAAATAATAAGATAGGATTCTATGCTGCATCCTGTCCTACAGAATAGGATTCTATTAACTCTTCGAAATGAGCTATCTAGGCTTGTGTCCAGAGGGTCTTATTGTGTTAATGTGAGATGTTATAAATTAAGGTGAAGAAAATAGTGTGTAAATTACAAGGTTCTGCTGAAAGACTTGAAAAACACTGATATAGAAGAGGTTATTAAATGATCTCATGAAGAACTCGTCATAATTAATGAGGCTGGAATAAAAAGGTAGGTTACCAGTTTTGCTGATGTCAGGAAGTTGGGAGGCTCTAAGGACACAGATGAGGATTAACATAAAACAGATTTAGAAGACCCTGAGGAGTGGATTAATAGACATGATGTTTAAAAGAAGAAAATGCAAAATCATGCCTACATTTAGAAACTGGAACTGACCTGTTACCCAGCTTCTCACTTCTTGTTGTTTATTTTGATTACTGCAGGATGTTTATGAACTAGCAGTTTGATGTAGGGCATGGCAGTGGTGACAATTCGTGTGACATAATGTCTACAGGTTTGGTCTA